CTCAATTATTCTGTATTGCTATTAAAGTAACGTTAAAGTCGGAATTTAACAACAGGGTAGGCTAAAGTTATCGATATTCACACCCACTCCAATTAAACCAGGCCACAAGTTACGCCTACTGAACCATCACCATTATTAAGTCAATATGAAATGTTATTTCCATACTTCAATACTTTCTATACAATTCGACCCGAAGCATATGACAATCAGAACCTTCCTAAGTCAAAATTGAATCGCACCCAGACAGGAGCGAATAGTCAATATAAGGTTGAAGAGGGAAGGAAATCAAGAGCACGGCGAACTGCAAACGTAAGCAAAAAGCCGGGAACAACACCAGCCCAGCAACAGCGAGTGGGGCTTCGACAGGCCATAAAGTAGAATAATAACTCCCGGGGTCAGGGGACACAAGAAGAAGCAGGCAGACAAAAACCAGAACTGACTCCAAGGTTCAACCGCCCTCACCTACTCAGGGGTGACGGAAATTAATGAGGCCTTGAATTAACGGCAGGCAACAACAACGGCGAGCAGAGATAGGGTGGGGCAAAGACTGCGGGCTATGGAATGCAACTTCGTGTCAGTAAAGCCCTGACAAACAAGTTAAGTTAAAGACATCACAATACATAATATCGCACATAACATCAATGTTAACGCTATTCACCGTAAACTATATTCCGCTTATATAACCATCCAGGCACCAAGGAATACGAATTCCTAGGATCAAGAAACTTACCCCTTAACCTAAGATATCAGAAATAAATTAATAGTAATAAGTATATGCATGAAAAGACAAAAGTAAAACTTATGGAAAAGCCAGGATAACGGGATGAATCACCACCAGGTCGAATATAAATACATAATAAAAAAAAAAACAATGTTAAACCCAGGGTCGGAGAGAAAGGGAGATCCCGGCCGTCTTTGTATCCCCGCAGCGCGGGATAGGAGTGTGTGTACGCTCGGGGAAACACCTACACTTGGGTCGGGAACCACGATGGGAAACGACAGACCTTAGGTTACATACAGAATCATAACTGTGAAATAGTAAGGGACAAATGTTAACTTAAAACTTTTAACCATTTCTTTGTGCGCCGGGTCGGAGAGAGTGTTGCCCCTCCCTCCAGGTTGTGCAACACGAACAAAGACGCCTATGAGACGATTTGTAACGTCTGTGTTTTGGGTTCATGAAGAAGGCCAGACAAGAGATAAATTGCACCCAGACAGAGAGACGACTTCGAGACAATTGTAACATCTGGTTGTTTGCTCGTGGGTTTTATGGAGGGAGTTGACAACGGAATATACCGTCAGTGATGCACACAAGGACATACGGACACACACATGGACACACCTGCCTACGGACAGATCCTGACACAGCAAAAATCGGAAGCCCCGCCTTGTGGGCGGGATCCAGGGGGATTTTTCAGCATAAAGGAACGGATCCTGAACATTGGAAACCAGTGCGACGGGAGGGTCCACTCAGAAGCTCGACCGGGAGGGTCGACTCAGGAACGAGTGCGACCAGAGCGGGTCCACTCAGGAGTGCGACCAGAGAGTCGACTCAGGAGCGAGGGCGACCAGCGGGTCGACCCAGGAGCGAGCTCGACCGGGAGGGTCGACTCAGGAGCGAGCTGCGACCAGCGGGTCGGCTCGACTCATCTTCAGCTCGTCAATCTCTGCTGCCGCCGGAGATCTCCGCTGCCGCCGGTGGTGAGCGTCGCGACTTGGCGACGATCCAGCGCTGCACGCTACGAGCGAGTTGTGGGCGCCACCTACCGACCGGGTTCCGAACTGCGACAGCGTATCAACAGCCATCCGAGCCAATTCACCACGGTGACAGGGGAGCGCCTGATACGTATGACGCGCACCGCCCCCTCACCACACGACCACCAGGCGTCTGTTTGACATAAAGAATCGACTCCGAACACTGACTATTCAAGACAACTCTTACCACTCAAACACACTCGAACCCACAAGTCATCCGTGGCTGGGAAGGCATCACAACGAGACCGAGTGGTGGCCTCCGTCGTATAAGAGTATTCTTAATTTTTATCTTTAATATTTAGTGGGCTGTACTCTTAATCGCATAAATTCCCAACAGATCCATCAATACGAACTGATTCTTGGCACCTCCTTCCGCCGAGCCACGCTCACGTGGGGAGTGGTGGCCCACCGGATCCTTATCAGGTGATCTGGTCCCCAATTAGTAAACTTGGTATAAGATAACGATCTTCGGAAAAGGAGCACCGTCGCAGGCCCTTACTCCGAGCCGTTCTGAGATAACCTGCCGATGTATCTGTTGAGATTGGTGCCTTTAAGAATAATAACTGTTTTTGATTGTGTTTTTTTTTTATCGCCGTATAATCTTTCAAGTATCTTTCAGTCATAATCGCCGCACGTACTCGCATCCTCTACAGAATATTCAACTGTTCCGTGACCCAAGGTGTTAACAACGTGATAAGGGTTGCGTATGATCAATAAGGAGTGCGGTACTGCGTGAACAATATTGAGTATAATCATTTATTAACGTTAAGGTTTTCTTAGCATAGTATTTGCACGTTTTAACGACTCTCTCTCTCACTAACAACCATCGCGTTAGGCGGGATCCATGTGCAGTTGTCGAAGTGAAATCCGACAATCGTTGATGATACTGTATTGATGCCGTATTGACGTTCCGGGATTGAGAGTTCGCATACTATATCATAGTTAAGGTTGAATTAGTAATAAATTGATCAATACAGAAGTGGTTGTGTGATTCTTTCCTGAAATCTATGCATAAGATCTGCTTCTGCGTTGAGATTTGAACTTGGTGACCTTAATAAACACACTAATACATACTCAGTAAACGTTAAAGCGATAACGGGGTGAACCGGGGTCTGGTTATCATAACGACTTGCATTATCATAATTACACCCACTCGCATAATTAATACGATTACCTCTCGAATTGGCATAATTAAAATGTGCGTAATTACATAAATTAACATATTTCCGGGTAATTACACATTTGGCCAAATTTCATTTAATTATTATTATTTCCACTGAATATTCATAACCCACATATACAACATAATAATTTCACCCACGCACGCATACAACATAACAAATTTTCATACCCAACATATACAACATGATCCTCACCCCATCCGCTTCACATTCGGCATTCAAACCGTTGATGTGCATGCTATAGATGACAGATTTATGAGGCAAAGAGGACGACGTCATCTGCAAAAAGTAGTAATACCAACTCCATGCCCCTGTACTGAATACTCCCCATAACTCGGCTGCACCTTAATATCCTTTCCATTTTCTAGCATTTAGATTGGCACTAACCGGTTGTGTGTTGAAGAGTAAACCCACAACATTATTTTTTTTAGTATTGTGACGTGTTGCTAGTGATTGCTTAGGGGCCGTCCATAAATGACGTCCCGCGATTTTGGACGATTTTTGACCCCCCCCCCCCCCCCCATGTCACACGGCGTCACAAAAAACAATCAATACCTGCATCTCACACACAAGCCCCTCCATGCTGGTCTGATGTCTTACTATAGACCACCAAATAACAAGAGAACAAATTCACCTCTGGATAAAATGATACCACCCATTGCAAAAGAGGAACTCATAGATCATAGGCGACTTAAAATGGAATTGGCTAAACCTACCACATGATGCGTTAAACGTTAAGACAAGTGCTATCTAAATCAACTGATTATTTTAACCTCTCAACTCAATATTAAACTGTGAAACTAAATTATTTCTGTAATTTTACTAGGTAAGGCTCACTGAGCTATGTAGCTCTTTTTCAGAAGCAACCTGCTCACAAATGATAGCTCAACGAAGTGGCTTATGAGGAAATGTGTAGCGGCATCGTTGAGCGCTGTACGCGATTGCCACTACTTGTAGTCTATAATAACGACCTCGAGTCAACAGGGGGCAGAATGGAGTCTAATGGTGATGAGTCAGGCCGTTGGGTCAACCCCAAGGCAGCTCGGGACCAGAGGTACAAACCCCCAGGAAGGGGGCTGGAGGATAACGTCACTCCCTAGGTCCCTCCAGACTGTTCCAAAAGGGAGGAGTGGCTAGGGGCAGAGTGAGCCAGAGATCAGTATAAAAGACGGTGACCTGAACGGGACCGGGAGTCATTGTTACCTGAAGACTCAAGAGACACCCTGGAGCTGCCACCTCGAAGACCCGAAGCGAAGAGCCCAAAGGGTAGAACCCGAACCCCTGGCTAGGGTCGGGTCAAAGCTTAACCAGCAAAGAGGTTAGAGCGTAACCAGTGTTAGGGCAGGCTAGCCCGGAGGGAATACCTCGCTAGGTATTGGGTGGAAGGGCCGTACCCATTTGTGTTATTGTAATGTTGAATAAACGTTCTGCCTCCAGAAGAGTGAAGTCCTCTCAAGTTTCTACCCACTAAAAATGTATAGCAGCCACATACTCTAAACGCATGTTGATACTAAATGTGGATGGAAGACCGAAGAACCTGTAAAAAAATCCACGCAACCACGGGGAGAGAGAGACTCAAACTCCAAAAATACAGCAGCTGGCAGTCGGGATCAAACCCACGACCTCCTCTATACCAGGCGAGGTAGTTAACATCTCGCTACTATGGCGAGATAAGATACAAGTTAGTAATAAAAAGGTTAATGATCAGCATGGTCTCTGTAAAATTATTAACCAGATATATTACATTTATTTCGGAGGTTTTATTTACATCTCCCAACATCTACAGTGCTGAGAGAAAGGTTGTGAACCCCTTAGGATTTCACATATTTTACATATTTCAAACCTAAAATGTTATGAGATCTTAATCTAAGCCCTAATAATAGATAAAGATAACATGACTAAACAAATGACACGAAAACATAATGCTCTTTCAACATTTATTCATCCTCAAATTATCCTACATTGAATAACCATGTGAAAAATAAGTGAATATTTATATTCAGTAACTGGTGACACCCCCTTGAGTATCAATGACTGCAACTAAGTATCGGTCAGTCTCTCACATTGGATTTGAGGAATATTGGCCCATTCCTCTTTATAGAACTCCTTCAACTTGGTGACATTTGAGGATTGCCCTGCATGGACAGCTCGCTTCAGGTCCTGCCACAACACTTCGATGGGGTTTAGGTCCAGACTTTGACTAGGCCATTGTAAAACGTGGAACTTCATCTTTTGCAGCCATTATTTTGTATATTTGCTTGTATGTTTAGGATCATTGTCTTGCTGAAAGACCCACTTTTGGTTCAGGTTCAGCTTTAGTGGACGGATGGCCTGACATCCTCCTCCAGAACCTTCTAATACAATGCAGAGTTTATGGTTGTGTCAATGATGGAAAGCTGTCCAGGTCTTGAGGCAGCAAATCATCCCCAAACCATCATATCCCCACCACGATGCTTGATGAGGTTCTTCTGTTCAAAAGTGTTGTTTCGTTTTTGCCAAACATAACGTTTGTCATTTAATCCATAATGTTCTACCTTTAACTCTTCTGTCCAGAGAACATTGTTCCAGAAGTCGTGTAGATCATCTATGTGCTCTTTGCTGAACTTCAGACGGGCAGCAATGTTATTTTTGGAGAGTAGTGGCTTTCTCCTTTCTATCCTTCCATGAACACCATTCTTGTTCAGTCTGTTTCTGATAGTTGAGTCATGAACAGTCACGTTAGCCAAGGCGAGACTGGCTTGCAGATCCTTGGATGTTTTTCTGAGGTTATTTGTGACTTCTTTGATGATTTTCTGGTTTGTTATTGGAGAGATTTTGGGTAGAGTCACTGTGGTCTTGAACTTTCTCCATTTGTAGACTATCTGTCTAACAGTGGATTGGTGGAGCCCCAAATCTTTCAAAATGGTTTTGTAACCATTTCCGGACTGATGATCATCAATAACTCTTTTTCTGAGGTCCTCAAAGATGTCATGTGATCACACCTCTGTGGTGAAGACCAAACTGACAAAGTTTCTGATCTTTATATAGGGTGGGGCCTCCCAAACTCATCCCTGAATATCTACCTAATTATTTAAACACCTGATTCGAATTCTTGCCTTAATTGAGCTAATGCCATCAGGGGTTCACTTGCTTTTGAAGATACCCTGAATCTTACTTACTCATTGTTTGTTTAATTCATACATCATTTTGTTTTAAAAGACATGGAATTGGTGAATATAAACCCTATTGAATATTTAAGAAAATACCAGTTTTTATTCAAGACGCCTATTATGTATGGTTCTCCGGGTCCTCCATTTTTTTTTATAAATAACTATATGTGTCGGCCATCAACCTTCCTCCCCCTCCCATTCTAGATTCCTATGATGAGCGCTGCCTCCGCCAGCGCCTTTTTCCGTAGGTGGTGCTCCAGGCAGTGCACCGCCACGGGGTCAACGGCCGTGTCCACCTTGTTGGCGAAGAGATGGTGCTGGAGCAGCACCCACGCCAGGTCGCCAGCGCCATACACGCAGACGTCCCTGACATGGGTTCCTCGGCAGGGCGGATAGGCCGCCTCGCCACCGCTCACATCACCTTCGAAGGCGGACCACTTGACTAGGCGCGCCAGCGCCGCCGCGTCCGTTACGTCATGTATCCGGTGCGCGGGCGTTGAGCCGGGCACACCGGGCATCCGCTGGAGGGTCGCCCACAGGTGCTCGTCGGGGCTGTAGGTATCCCTTGCCCACTCGATGAATGCCCGCGCTGCCGGGTCACTCAGCACGTGCTCCACGAAGGCGCGCGTCACCACCACGTATGCGCTGCCCGCGAACATGGGTGTGGGGATGGGCGGCGGGCGCTTGGTTAGGCCCGTCGAGCGGATCTTGTTGCCCGCCACTTCGTAGCTGAGGATCCAGCGCACCCTCTTGCCCCTGGGCATGTGCACCGTCTCCAGACTGTTGCGGCCATTGAGGGTGCGCAGCGCCCGCACCATTTCCAGGTTCGTCTTGATGGGGAAGTCGCGGCCGCACAGGTTGATGAAGTACCTCCATGGAACACGGTCCGCCATGGCCACCTGCAGCCAAAGGGAGCACGTTAGGGCGTTGTTGTTGCACTATAATGCCATCGTGTTTGTCCGTATGTCCAGTTGCCTGTTTGGACTGAGATTCGTATGTTCAAACGCAGCACAATAGATGGAATAGATGGCGGTGGTGGCATCTACATCTGCATGACATGACGAACCAGTGGCATTTACATCTACAGAACATGAAGAACCAGTGGCATATAAAATAACAGATTATTACATTTTTAAAGCCATTCCCCATGTATAGTGTACATGCCGTACAACATGTTTGGAATCAACAGGAGTAAAGTTGGACTTACGAACAAATAGACTTACGAACAGACCTCTGGAACCGAACTCATTCGAAGCATGAGACGTTCCTGTATTTAAATTAGTGTAAATTTTCAGAGATATAGCGTGGTATTTGTTGATAATCTATATTTAACAATATTTTTCTTAAATTTTTTATTTTATTTTGCGATTATGATTTGCTAGCATTTTTTTTATTTCTCTTGTCTGTTATTGTTTTATTATAGATTTATTTTACTGCGACTTGTTGCATTTGTTGGAGAAGCAGTGTTGTTTTTGTTGATGAAACCCGATTTAAGAGCTTCTTGGCTCACACGCTACTCAAAAATTAACTGAAAATGATCACTGAACATCGCAAAGATAAAAACTTTTCCAGTCGCCATAGATTACCACTAAATCTCGCATTTCTTGAGAGCCTCTACAATGATGAAAGTAGCACCCATGAGGCGCCTCAGCAGTGAAAAGATGGTACCAATTTACTCCACCGCTTTATTGGACCGGGTCCGAACCCAGGCTTCTCTGCAGCTCCTGACGAAGGACACAGGAGGAGCTGGTGTTTGATCACCCCGTCTGAAACGTGCTTATAAATTTTTGTTTGTTTAACACGTAGGCGTTTGCGACTAATATTATCTACAATAGAGGTTTTCTGGGTTAGATCGCGTTAATAGAAATGTCGGTAATACCACCGCCACCCGACACAGCCAATAAGTAAGGGGTTTGTCACTTAAATAAAATACATTTATAATCAATGTCGCGTGTTTAGAGTATTTGGCTGCTATAAATTTCCACATGATGATAAGCCACTTCGTTTAGCTATCATTTGTGATAGCCAGGTCGCTTCTGAAAAATAATTAAAGAGCTCAGTGCCCCTCCTGTATAGCAGGCAAGGAAGTTAACATCCCCTAGCCACCGTGATACTATACAACAGGTGTAAGGGTAGGGATCGAATCCACGACTCTACTGTATACCAGGCGTGGTAGTTAACATATCCTAGCCACCGTGGGGTACATATGCCCATAAGCCGCGTGTATATAATTATATTTGTAGCGATATTCTTTACTTCCCCCACCCCCACTTCTCTCTTTACCCACGTAATGGTCCCGGGTTCATGTTAAAACAACGTACAAAAATTTCCTAGCCATCGTGGGGCGTACGCCTCATCGCTTCAGGCATGGATCTGGCCTTTTTAAAATGTTCCCACCCACCCCACGCACTCTCTCGCCATCACGCACCAGCTCGCTCATGCAGTTGAGGTCGGCCTGCACTCGCGACCACGAGGCGTAGACGACTCTCTCCAGGTGAGCCGCCACGAACACGTTGGGGAAGCATGCGGCGAGGGCACGCGCCGCCTCCAGGTAGGCGCGGGGTGACTTGGCGTCCACGTGGAGGCAGTAGAGGTTCTGCGGCGCGTAGACGGCACGCAGCAGCCTCTCCAGCATGTCCACGCGGTGGTGGGCGACCACGGAGTAGGCGATTGGGAAGGTCTCCTCCTCGCGGCTCAGTGGCACCGTCACGTACCTGCGCGCGCGCCTGAACGCGTCACAGTCACGCGTCATCGCGAGCAGCTCCGCCTCGCCAAGTCCATGGTGGCCGCGACCCTTCGCCGTCTTGGCCACGAGCTCGGCCGCAGCGGCGACGGCCACCTCGTCGCCCTCGACGATGGCGGCGCAGTTGAAACGCCGGGAGGTCGAGGTCGACATCTCGACGTCGCTGATCTCGAAGCCTGACGGCGGGGAGTAGCGAGAAGGTGGCGGCAGTGACAACTCCTGCACGATGATGGTGTAGAGGCCAAACGCAGTGGACGTGAGCGTGCACATGCAGATGAGTCGGGAGCGCTTCCTGTTGGTGAGCACCATTTTTACTTCTCTTTTCCTCCCTCGAGCACGCGTCGTTGCTGGGCCCAGCACACTTGGCAGGTTTCAACGTTTTTTTTTAAGTGAGTGTAAATTCTCACAACTTAGCCAACCGTGCAAATCGGAGGTGTGGTGTAATGTAAAGTGTAGTATATAGTGGTCGAGTGTGAATTGAAAAATAGTTTATGTATGTGTTGAACTTCTTTCGCACCGTACACAGCCAACCGTAGCTAATCGGAGGTACGGTGTAGTGTATAGTAAATAGTTGTGTAGTGTACTGTATAGTAGTGTACTGTAAAATAGTGTACTGTATAGTAGTGTAGTGTGTAGTGACTAGTTTTTTGTATGAGCGTTGAACTTTTTTCGCAACGTACGTAGCCAACCGTGCTAATCGGAGGTGCCGCGGGGAAAGAACAACAAAATAAACACGGTAACAGCAAGCAGTTCTCCCAAGAAATTAGTTTGTCAATCTGGAGGATGATTTAAACGTTTGCACCATATCTCCCAGTGGCTTCTTAATGTCGGAAGGAAGAGCGTTCGAAAGCGCCGCACGATGTGGTGACCGTCTTTGTTCGACGGCGAGCCAAAAGTATAGCATATAATCTATAGTAGAGTATAGTGTAGCGTATAGCAGTGTAGTGTATAGTGTAGCGTGTCGTGTATAGTAGTGTAATGTATAGTTGCGTAGTGTGTAGTGGTGTATAGGGTGGCGTTCTATACCGGCCACAGAAGCAGTGCAGCGTCTTAAAGCGCCGCGTGACGCCGCGTTGACGCACAAAGCAGCTGAGGCGATCCTCACTGCCCCTTCACACTACACGCACTCTGGCTGTCGGAGCAGTCCGCTTGTCACGGAGACACAACTTCTTCGCCTCGGAGCTCCTGCCAACGAGGGGTGGTGACGAATAGCACGGCAGTGGAAACCCCTCGCAGACGCAAACCTCGCTTCTGCTTATATCAACGAACGTAGCGGCGACGGCTCTTGACGCTGTTGTGAGATTTAATTTTTACAAGAGGGGGCGGTTTCGGAGGTGGGTGCCGTGGTAGGGTGGGGTGGTGGGATTAAGGACAGCCGTATATATTTGCAATGTTCCATGGATGCTCAGTGGACCGAGGCGCGTTCCGGGGTGGGGAGGGGAGCGCTCGTGACATTAACTCAACCTCCCCTCCGCATCTCACCCATCGCCCCATCCCCCACCCCGCCACAATCCACTCCAACAATCACCGCCAACCAAGCAGCAGCGATGTGGGTCACGCGAAACAACGGCACGTCCGGGGTCGGCCGGCCTGTAAACGAATTTTCAACCTTCGTCTAAAGTGCAAAGGGGTTAAAAAAAAGACGTCACCCACTGGGGTCCTTTCATAACGTTCATCACCCTGACGTGGTGGTGGTGAGAGAGGGGGTGGTGGGGATTATACCTCGGATCGCTTTGTCTTCGTAGACACGTCTGGTCAATACTGCAAAAAAAAAACGTGATTGTGGGTTAATGTCAGCTTCTTAATCTGGCGTGACGTGAATTGACTTGACGTATCTTCTTGGTTCTTTCGGTAAAGTCACGTAGAAGGGAAATAATAAAATAATAAAAATAAAACAATGAAATACAATTCTCACGACGTTTCGGCCACAACGCAAGCAGCCGTCTGTCGGAAAGACAGCGTCTGAATGAATTTGACTTGACGTAGTCCGAATGCAAGCACGATTATCAATCGTGCGTCACTTTTACATTTACACAATTATATGTTCACATGGGAGGATGTGTGTGGCTCAGCGGTGAGCGTACTGTGCTAAGAACCTGGTGACCTCGGAGATGTTAACTCCCTCGCCTGGTATGCAGGAGGTCCTGGTTTCGATCCAGACCCTGAAGCCTGCTCTATATATTTGGTGTATGCGTGTCTCCATTTCTCCCCATGTGGTCGTGTGGAGTTTGCTCTGGACCCTCCGGTTTTTGCCTCCACATTTAGAAACATGTGTCAAGATTATTTAGAGTATTTTGCTGCAATAAATGTCCACATTATAAGAAGCCACTTCGTTGAGCTATAATTTGTGATAGCGCAGTCGCTTCTAAAACAAGATAATTGCTCAGTGGGCTATACCTGCTAAGAAAAATAATAGTTTAGCTGTATTCGTATTTTTTAAAGTTATTTGTTACCTTTCCTATATTTTAGACTCCTATCGTGTTTGTGTGTATTCTGTGTTGTTGTTGTAACGTTCCGACCCCGTGCCCCCTACTGGACATATATGACAAAGAGCTTTGTACCTAATCGGATTCCTCCTGCTGCAAAATAAATACTGATTCTGAACTCAAATGTACATGTCTTCGGTGGACTTCAGGCTGCTAATGACAGCAGCCAGTGAACCCGCCGAACCCGCCAGCGTGAAGATGCGCACACAGAGTGGGGATGTAAGTTGTTTTACATTTGTATTGTTTAACCGCGTGAGAAATGAAGATAAGAGGATGAAGTCCTATAGTCTCCCAGTAGGATCCCCCTCCCCCCGTTTAATCCCAATCGAGTAGTGTGCAGTGCAACTTTTAAACATGAAAAAGAAAAGTTTGGACTTTTTTTGACGCAGACACGCAGTGGCCCACCTCTTACGAATAATGTCAGCGGGTCTTTAACGGACATTACACCCGTGAAACACGTTCCTTTGGAGTGGGCAGGTAAGAATTTGGTTGGACAGCGCATTCGTGCACGACACAAATATGCACGACAGACAGACAAATAATCACTGGTGGGCAGTGTGGAACCTGTTGTTCCTACCTGTATTATTTCTTATTTTCTTTATTTTACCAGGAATAAGGTCCAACTGAGCTGCTATGTAGCTGTTTTTTCAGAAACAACCTGGCTATTTTGGGAAATTTTTGCAGCCTGGGAATTCATAGCGGCCAAATAAGCTAAACGTATGAGGTTCATTCCTAATATGGAGGGATAAACCGGACACCCCGGAGAAAAGTACACGCAACCACGGGGAGAGAGAGACACAGAAACTCCAAGTAAACATCAAGCATCAGGGTCAGGATCGAACCCACAACCTTCTTCATACCAGGTGAGGGAGCTATGATCGCCTTAGGCACCGCGGCTGAATGAGGGCGGCCATGGTCTTCGAACCGTGAGCCTCTTCGTGTCTCATCGGAATGTCACCGACAAGGCTTCTTCTGCCCTGTGAACGTCTTTCCCGAGCCTGGAGTCGGGACTATTGTGTGCCCAGCTAGCAAAAGAGCTCCCGAGTTTGTTACTCACTACTCACTTACCAGAAGCAGCGGGATGCGGCAGTGGAGTTTGGGCTGCACCAATGCGTAAAAGCTGTCGACCACTTGTCACAGCACGTAAGTAAATTATTCCCTTCGTCCCAGGGAGTCGCCCTTCTCCTCAATCAACAAGTGGTCTGATCCTGGGCGTTTCATCCCCTGTGTAGCCTTAAAAAACTTAAGTGATAAGACACTTCCTTAAGCTATCATTTGTGATAGCCAGGTCGCTTATGGAATAATAGTGTAATGATGACCATACATGTTGTACTTGGAGACTTTTCTTTATTTGACACAGCACCAACACTGGGCCTTGCTTCTGGTTTGACTCTTGACGATCCTACTATCTCCGAACGTCCCCTCTCCTTGTGCTCTCCCCTTTCATCTCCTTCGAGCCCTTTTCTCTCGAAACTTTTTTCAATGTATTCCTTTCAGCAAATCTTCGTCCTCCCTCAATGGTTCTCAATCGTTGCCTCAACGCTCAACCTCCGTTTCCCACCTTTTTAAGTTCGAACCTCTCCTCCAATCCCTTCAAACCTTGCCTCCCGACCAATCACCATGGAGACTTCTCTGCACCAATAGGAGGCCTTGGCCTACTTCCTGGTAGTCTGTTTGGCTGCACATTTGGTTGGGGTGAGTGGTCTAGAATTTCGGTCATTACATGACCTCCCCTCCCCCCTTTAAAAAAACGAGCCGTCCCAGCTAATACCAGGGTGGAATGACTGACCTAACAAACCACGGGGAGCCAAGGGGAATTTCACACACCAGAACTCTGTGACACCATTTCAACATTTTCTGTGTCCAACTATGTAGCAATAAACAATGCATACAACGAACAATGTGTGGTGTGAATTATTTAGCAGTGCAGATTTTGCACCTCCCATGATTAGTGACAAAAAAAACAACGGGAGGATTGTGGCAACAACGAGGTGCAATGGTCTGCTGCGTTGTCCAGGACAGTGTCAGCGCCATCGTGCACATCTTGCGCGGGTACTCATTTGCCGGACCGCCATCCTCTGCAGAGGCCCGCGACAAGGCGTAATGGATCACACCCAGTTCTGTGGGCAGCACAGGGTCATGTGCGGGTGATCTGTGTGCAGATGGCGGCTGCAGCGGCTCGTCGGACACCCCAGACTCCGGCGAAACAGGGAAAGGGATGAGTTGTATGGGTGATGATGAAGATACGGCTTTAGGCACGATGGGGTGACCATACCAATGGCAACGTCCCGACTGTATGCGTAGTTGGTTTACGCATTGCGGCCACTTAACCTCAGCTATTTCGACTGGGTCCTGCCATGACAATGTAACTTAGGGGAGATAAGCAAAGGGACATTGTCGCCAACTGCCTAGGGGAGTGGTGTGATCCCGTGGCATTTTATTTCGCTCGTTAGTGGCCTGGGTTTTAGAGGTGTTTGCCATTGCCACTGTCCACGCTTTGTGTAGTCGGTCGATAATTTTGGTGATCTGTTCCTAATGACTGACACTGTACGCTGTATGTAACGCTGGCTAGGCAACGTGGATTTTCATGCCATTTTTCATATATTTTGTGTTTTTAATGAAAGGCCTATTATTAAAACTGTAACTAATTGTTAGTTTATGTTGCTTTGTCAATTTACACCAAATGTGATATATAGAGAGACCTTTTTGATGAAATAAATTCAATACAATCTTTACATTTTAGTCTTTTCCATTAAATTGTTATGAGCCCGTTATATGATGGGCAATTTCACTCGTGAAAAATAAGTTAATACCTCAGTGGGC